AAGAAGAGCTCATCCCAAATTGACAGAGTGCGAGAGAGCCTCATTGGCACATGTCGATCCCGATGAAAATCTCGGAGAAGAATTCTACTTCCCTCATCAAGGAGAATGTCCCACTATGGACGACTACAAGCAAGCACAACCAGGATCCGGCTATCCGATCAAGCTTCCGCTTGGATTGAAGAAGCTTAAGTCGCATGATGACCCGGAAATCATCCGAGCATATGCCGACATCCTGGGATCGCTGATGCAGCCAACCGATCGTCCTCCTGTGGACTATCTCAAGATGCATGAGTTCACCTCATCCATAGCGATCAACATGCTTACCCTGAACCACGGAAACCTCACGAGGAATCCAAAGTTAATGATGAGAAATCCAGGGAGCTCATCAAGACGTTCATCCGATTCGGATACAAGGGCATCGTGATCAAGCAATGGCCATCCAGACCGATCGCATGCTTTGTCCGTGGCGGACCTTCTGCAAGAGTGGAACTTCTGGCAAGACACATTTCCACTAAGAGTCAGAATTGGGGAACCACATTCGGAATGTTCAGATGTTTCTTCGGAACCGGAGGAAGTTGCACTGATCCCGAATACGAAATTCCGACCTCGGATTGCTTGGCAACTACGGGAACATCCATGTCTACTGAATCCAAGAAGTACATTGGACCGAGACTGCCAGCACGCACCATTGTCCAAGGACATGGCTAAATGGCCGAGACAAGGAGATCGTCGCTCTCCATATCGAGCAGAGTGATGAGTTTCGTGGCATGATCCCGAAATCATCCAAAAGTCACTCCATGAGTATGACGACCGCCACATCACGAGGGCAGATCTCCCACCTGCTACCATTGGAGTCTTCCACATTCATCCTTCAATCAGCCATGGAGCAGCACGGGAAGATCTTCAGAATGAAATCATGCCACTCGTGACTTTGCACCGATGCGATGCGATCACCGGAGACGCCAATAAATCAGCGAATACCTACAGCAAACTCCAGCACGTCTTCAATCCAGCCAACGGTCTCGTGAACATTCTCATGAGAGCATGTCAGAGACTGTGAAATGAAACGTGCACCCTGAAATCCATTGTCCATCATCACCTGCACATGAAGTGTGCATCAGGAGATGATCGAACATTCCCAGATGTGATGATGACATTCGTATTTGGATGGGGCAAAACGAGCATCCAGCTTTCCGGAAGGACGAGATGAACGGCATGGAAGATGAACAACTGGAACTCATGCGGAACGATCCAACCAAGGCCATATTCGTCCACCAGGTCTCATCCGCAGAGCGCTTCAAGCACGTGAACAATGATATGTTCATGAATAACTCGCAGGACTCCGACTCGCACAGCCCCCTCATGGTGTACATCCGCAGCAAATCTGCAACCAGGCAACGCAACTCTGAGAGATACCAGGAGTACATCAAGAAGAAACAAGCCTGGACATCGCAGGAGTACAAGGACTACAACAAGCAGTGGGGAATTCAGAAGCAGTGGAAGGACTATAGCACCTCGACCTGGAATGATTATGGAGACTATGGCAGTCAATCCGACAGCAGCCGCCGATGGTATCGTCGATCCGACTGACCATGAATCAGCACCACGAACTCAATTCAGATGATTGATCCTCGCCGTCTACAAGACTATACTACAGTGACAGATCAATAGTTTCACAATCGTCCCGCGTGTACATAGCGTTGTACATCACCCTTTGATACATCTAGGTATCTCGAAAAGAAGCAGTACATAGTGTTTTCCATTTCGAAAGCCAAGACATTCATCCGAGCAGAAAAGAGGATGAATCCGGCATTTTTAATACACATGGCTACGGCATACATCATGGCTACGGCATACAACAAGGCTACGGCCAAAGGCCATGAAGCCAATACTGTTTCATACTTAGTGCTGGAGATCAAAAGAAATTTGTGTTTGTTTTGTGTTTGGTTTACTGAACACTTGATCTCCTGCAACATTTGGCTCAAGGCCCCTTTTGTGTTACATTGCATCATACATGATCGCGTGAAGCAAAAGAACCTTTGCAGGCCGCTTACAGGATTATCCACAAGACAATCCACCAGAAACAATCCATCCTCCAATCATCCAATATTGGATTCTCTCCGGAATAGATCCAGGGGCCAAATCAACGACCTCTACTACCACAAAGGTACCAGTTCCCTTCTGGGATAGGTACCCCGGCAGTGGGCCTCACCCCCCCCCCGCTACGCTTGAGGTGTTTTACGGGACTTGTTTGCCCGTGTTTGAATCCTCACTTGTACCATGAGGCCTTGCCGCAGAGGAACTGATGACCCCCCCGCTGCTTTTGTATATTTTTTTGCCCCTAATTGAATC